CTTTGGTTTATTTTCTGTGAAGAACATAAATTCGAACAAAATTTTTCAGTGACCGCATAATGTACCTCCCCCCACGCATTTACATTACATACAAGGTGTTCGGGTTCACTGGACCCAGGTCTTATAAAAGTGTTGAAAGTGTAGGTCCTGCCACAACAAAGTTTTAACTGTTGAAAATTCAACTATCAACAATATCTGCTCTTACATTCATGCACATTTTACCCTCTCTCTTGTGAGAACCAAGCTTTTATTTTCTCATACTCTGTCCCATCTGCAAATTAGGGGCATAAATAAGACTTTGTCAGTGTGGTTCCTTATCACAACTGGCCAAAAGATTATCTGCTGCGAGGGCCTTGCAATTGATTGTGGAAGAGAGAGAAGCTTCTGATGCTGATGTCGAGGAAAAGGTTTCAGAATATAAGGACATTTCTGAAATATAAGGACATCACATTTCTGAAAATTTAGAGTCTGACAGTAACAAAATGAAGACAAGTATCCCATCAGCAGCCAGCTCCATTACCAGCTTGTCAGCAGCCAGTTCCAGGACCAGAGCAAGCCCACCAGACAGCAAGTGAAGAATTGCGGATGTCAAAAAATGGTGAAATTGAATGGTCTTCTTGCGCAATAAATATTACAGCCCTGGGCTTAATGTCAGCATTGATGAGCAGCTAATGCCATTTAGACACCGCTACCCTTTTAGGGAGTATATACCATAGAAACCTGCAAAATATGGTAAAAAGATCTGGGCTGTCTGTGATGTAACTTCCTGATAAGCTTGGAACTTACAAGTGTACACAGCGAAACCCGATGGAGGAGCCTCTGAGAAAAATCAAGGGATGAGAGTTGTCCTGGACCTGACTCAGGGACTCAGTGGATACAATATCATTCATTCATTCATTCATTCATTCATTCATTCATTCATTCATTCATTCATTCATTCATTCATTCATTCATTCATTCATTTTGCATAGTGCTGGGTGTTTGATAAATAAATCAATAAATAAATAAATAAATATGGACTGTGACTTTAAGTAGTAATAGACACTAAATAAATAAATAAATAAATAAATAAATAAATAAATAAATAAATATGGGCAGTGTCCTTAAGTAGTAACAGACTCTAAATAAATAAATAAATAAATACATATGAACAATGTCTTCAAGTAGTAACAAACACTAAATAAAAATAAATAAATAAATAAATATGGACAGTTACTTTAAGTAGTAATAGACACTAAATAAACAAACAAACAAATAAATAAATAAATAATAAATAAATAATTAAATAAATATGGGCAGTGTCTTTAAGTAGTAACAGACTCTAAATAAATAAATAAATAAATAAATATGGGCAGTGTCTTTAAGTAGTAACAGACTCTAAATAAATAAATAAATAAATAAATATGGGCAGTGTCTTTAAGTAGAAACAGACTCTAAATAAATAAATAAATAAATAAATAAATAAATATGGGCAGTGTCTTTAAGTAGTAACAGACTCTAAATAAATAAATAAATAAATAAATAAATAAATAAATAAATAAATAAATAAATAAATATGGGCAGTGTCTTTAAGTAGTAACAGACTCTAAATAAATAAATAAATAAATAAATAAATATATAAATAAATAAATATAAACAATGTCTTCAAGTAGTAACAAACACTAAATAAAAATAATCAAATAAATAAATATGAACAATGTCTTTAAGTAGTTACAGACACTAAATAAATAAATAAAAAATAATTATTAAATAAACAAAAAAATTATTAATTTATAAATATTAAATAGAAAAACATAAAGAATGTTTTCGAGTACTAATAGACAATAATTAAATAAATAAATAAGTAAATAGATAAATAAATAAATAAATAAATAAATAAATAAATATAAACAGTGTCTGAAAGTTACAACAGACACTAAATAAATAAATAAATAAATATGGACAGTGTCTTCAAGTTACAACAGACACTAAATAAATAAATTAATAAATATGGACAGTGTCTTCAAGTTACAACAGACACTAAATAAATAAATAAATATAGACTGTGTCTTCAAGTAATAACATACTCTAAAAAAATAAATAAATAAATGAATATGAACAATGTCTTCAAGTAGTAACAGACAATAAATAAATAATAATAAAAAAACTAAATATAAATAAATCAATTAATCAGTGAATGAATGAATAAATGCGGTATTTAATTAAGTCGATCGTTTATCTTTTTTATAATGTAATACAATTTACACCTTTCCAAAATAACACATTTTGGAAATACATAAACAAATTGCTTTGTGTAATATTGCATTAACATTGTAAAGTTGCATTTTGTTGACATTCGGAAGTTAGATTCATGCATAGAGTATACTAATAGCTTCTTAGAGGAGTTACAAATGCAAATACTCATGTGATTCATGCTTCCTGATTTAATCCAAAATCCACAGTTCTGTTATTATTTTTGAATAAAGTCACTAAAGCTGTAATTAATCATTTAATCCAAAACTCAATTGTTTGTAGTATATTATTTCAATTTAAAACAACTGTTTAAAATGTAAATTATTCATGTTATGTCGAAGCTGCAATTCATTTTGAGCATCATTTCGGTGTCACACAGTCCTTCAAGAATCATTCTAATGTGCAAAAGAATAGTAATAATAAAAGTATCGTATGTTCCCAAACTTTTATTAATACTGCAAAATGTGCAAACATGAAAGTATAATTATTTAATGAAGTGGTTGAGTCTATGAGGCATTACACATAAAATGTTGAGTATGTAAAACTAGTCTCCTAATTTGACTCTATCATGGGATTTAGGATTTAGATGTAATGAGTTTGGTAATACTGAGATGATTTGAGTGGCCTGCTGAAAACACAAATTAAGTTAAGAGGTGTGATTTACCAGAAGACTGAGCTGAGAATCACTGTCATAGAGGCATTTTCACAAGCATCTGTTCTTTACAGCAATAAAGAGAGCAGTGACACTTATTTCTCTTGTGTATATGCAATTGTCTTGAGAATAAAGGAAGGATTATGATATGAAATTAAACATTAATGGACATTTCTAAGTCTAAATAGGGAGGCTAATAAATCAGGGGGGCTAATAATTCTTCTGACTTCAACTGTTTGTTTATATATATATATATATTTATATTATTATTATATATATATATATATATATATATATATATATATATATATATATATATATATATATAATATATATAATTTCATCTCTGTTCCATTAATGCAAATTATTCTCAAAGAGTGCAATCCACTTTGATTTTTTTTTTTTTTTTTGGTTTATTTAAAGAAAAATGTAAAATGTATAATATTTTAGAACATACAGTTGAAACCAGAATATACATACACTCTAAAAAAAAGGAACATAACCATTTTTTTTTAATGTCTGATTATCATACATTTTTGATTATCATTGTAAATCAGACTAAGTGTTTAAAATTTAGGTCTGTTAGGATTACCTAATTAATTTACATTTGCTAAATGCCAGAATAATGAGATTTTTTTGTTTGTTTTATTTTTATGAGAAATTTTTATCATTTATTTATTTCTAGACAGTCAAAAGTTTACACACATTTCCTTGGTATTTTTTTAGCTTTGCTTTTAAACTGTAAAACTTTGGTCAAATGTTTTGGGTATCCTTCCACAAGCTTCTTACAATAGTTTGCAGGAATTTTGCCCCCTTCCCCCAGACAGAATTGGTGTAAAAGAGTCAGATTTGTTGGCTGTCTTGCTCGCACAAGCTTGTTCAACTCTGCCCACAAATTGTCTATAGGACTGACATCAGGGCTTTGTGATGGCCACTCCAAAACATTCACTTTGTTGTCCTTAAAGCACATTTTAACCATTTTGACAGTGTGCTTAGGGTCATGGTCTGTTTGGAAGACCCCTTTGTGGCCAAGTTTTAATTTCCTGGCTGATGTCTTGAGATGTTGCTTCAATATTTCTACATAATGTTCTTTCTTCATGATGCCATCTATGCTGTGTAGTGGACCAGTCTCTCCTGCAGCAAAACAGCCCCACAACATGATGCTGCCGCCCCCATACTTCACAGTTGGGATGGTGTTCCTAGGCTTGTAAGCTTTCCCCTTTGTCCTCCAAATGTTACACTGGTCATTATGGCCAAACAGTTCAATCTTAGTTCCATCAGACCACAGGACATGTCTCCAAAAAATAATCTTTTTCCCAGTAATGTAATTTAGCAAATTGTAATCTGGCTTTTTTGTTGATTTTAATTTGTTGATTTTTCATGTTTTCACACAAGGAAGCAGTGTGTTTGAGGTTTTCCTTACATACTATTCTACAGTTGTGCCTCCAATTAACTCAAATGTTGTCAATTAGCCAATCGGAAACTTCCAAAACCTTGACACCATCATCTGAGCTTTTTCAGAGGCAGAATAATCTTATTGTACGTAATTTTGACTTTCAAGAAAAGTTATAACAATTTCTCAAAAAAATATATGTCTCATTATTCTGCTATTAAGCATAACAGAAACACATTTGATAATCCTAATTCGAAGCCTCCATGGGATTCGAATTACTGGATGGAGTTATTTAAAATGACACTTTATTACAATATGTAAATATATTATATAATATTAAATTACATAAAATAATTAAAAGGAAAAATTCTGGACCTTTTGCCTGTGGAGGGGTGGCTCGTTCGAACCATCCGAACCCCCATGACTTGGCCTGGCTTTTTATATTATGTGCCAAACTGACATTAATATATAGAGCTGCCACAAATGACATGTTATAGTGCAATAAGTATAATATCCCGGCAAACATATTTACAGATGAAAGTCTTCTTAATCAAACCACAATCTTTCTGTACTGCTGTACTTAGGGCAGAATATGGTCACTTGTAGCAGCAAGGAATAAACCTCCAGCCACGGGACATGGTTAAATAACTCACCTTTTAGATCAACCTTTGGTCTGTCAAAGTCCTTCACACACACACTTACACAGTGCTAGATAACACCTGAGCAGGAGCCAACAGACACCTCCTTTACAACAGGACACTGAGGAGACCACAGCTGGTGAGTGACCGACACTTCTGTCCTGTTCACAGCGTACAGACAAAAGTTGAGGAATACACTAGAGTGTCTTGTAATTTCTACCTTTACATGTTCTCTAAAAAGATTTAGACTGTATTTGTTTATAATTTGACAAGACAAGAATAGTATATACACAATAAAAATGCTGGGTTGTTTTTTTTTTTTTTTACCCAACGTAGAATCAAACATTGGCTAACTCAATTAAACTCTTGTTAACAATTAACAGTTTATTTCAATAGCATTTTAATGATCGACATTCACAAATGTAAGTTGATTGAACATAAAACAATTAGGTTGTCCCCCCCAAAAAAAAAAAAAAAACTAAAGAATTGTGTTGTTTCTGCTCATTTTAATATAATTTGAGCGAACTGCAAACATAATTTCTAAGTGAAGGTAGATGCATTTCTACATTTAGGAAGATTGATAAATAGAATAAGAGTTAATTAAATAGATTTAATGCATAAATTAATGCTATTCCAGGAAAAAAAAACAGACAAACAAACTAACATATATCAATATTCAATATTTAAAACATTACTTTTAAATCTGCTTGGTAAGAAGAACTTGCAGTAGAAATTCCAAGTGAAATTTGGGAACAATGTCTTCAACTGGTTTACAGATGTTCCATTAATGCAAGACATTAGCCCCTTTCACACATAAAGACCTTTCCGGAAAATTACCGGCAATTTACCGGAAAGGTGTGTATGTGTGAACAGGCCCTTTTTAAAAATAGCGGTAAATTCGTTCTGGCTATTTTCTGGAAAGAGAAGTTGTACAACTCAATGTTGGGTTAATTTTTTAAATTAAATGTAACTGTGATTTTCTAAATTGTTTTACACTTTTTAAGCCCATCAATGGGTTTGTTTATAAGTTGACCCGAAATCACAGTATTAAGAATAGAATAGAATAGAATAGAATAGAATAGAATAGAATAGAATAGGGTACAGTATATGCACAACTAGTGTTTCTTTCCATGCCAATAAAATTTCACAGTTTATGTGACATTTTTTTCCATTTTATACGGTTCCTTTTACAGCATCGATGTTGTAATGCAATTAAAATATAATCAGTTAAATAGACTTTGGCATTCATTTAGTTGCTCAAGCGCAAAACGAGATGAAAAGCCGTTTATACACACACAGCTGTCAGGATTAGCAGGCTATTGCAGAAGCTGCATTGAATACACTGGGGTAAAATAGATGTTCATATTTTATAAACATGGCGGGGGCATTTTTAATTTAATGCAGTGCTTCTTGTACATTCTGAGACCCACTTTATACCCACTCAGCCAGTGGAGATTTGTCTATTTTTTTTATAAAAACAGACCGTGCCGATTTTGTAATGGCGTGCAGTTCACCGGAAGCTCTTGACCCAGGTTACTGACCAATGAAAAGTCCTTACGCATACTTCTACATATACCCAATAGATCTAAAAAATGGAGGGTTGTTTTAACCCACGATGTAAACATGCAAAAATCTGGGTTGTCACAATCTAATGTTGGGTCAGATATGGATATGGATTATCCAGTTAAACTTAAATGATTTTAGAGTGGGACTTTTTATATATTTGACCCAATGTTTGGTTTTGACAAATCAGAATTTGTTAAAGTGCAAACTTGGGTGAAATATGAACAAAGCCAAGTGTTTCAATTAATTTTTTTTAACTCAACAATTGGGTTTGTATGGTGTTTGCTTTAGACTTAGATTAAAACAACCCAGGATTTCTTAGAGTAAAAAGGCTGAGTTGCTGTAATATAATGCTGGATTAAATTTGGCCAAACCCAGCATTGTGTTATTATTTTCATTTAAATTTAAATGACACTTTTTAACCAAACAGTTGGGTTTGTCCAAATTTGGAACTAACGTTGGGTTACAGCAGCATGCATAGAATGTATAGAATGTTGTTTCATACACCCTGCAACTCAGAAATAAAGGTACAAAATCGGTCACTGTGGTGGTACACTTTTGTACCATACACATGGACATTAGTACTTATAGAGTACACTTTTTTTACCTTTATAGTACAAAAAAGACCTCTATAGTATAAAAGATATATATATATATATATATATATATATATATATATATATATATATATATATATATATATATATATATGTGTGTGTGTGTGTGTGTGTGTGTGTATGTATGTGTATGTATATATATGTGTGTGTGTATGTATGTATATATATATATATATATATATATATATATATATATATATATATGTGTGTGTGTGTGTGTGTGTGTGTGTGTATGTATGTGTATGTATATATATGTATATATATATATATATATATATATATATATATATATATATATATATATATATATATATATACATACACATACATACATACACATAAAAAAAATTGAATATGAATCCATTTTTGATCAATTTGACATCTTAACTCTGCATTCTTGCTTTCCAGTCATCTGTACAGATGAGAAACCTGAAGCAAAGTGACATTAATTATTAAACAGCAGCAAGCAGGCAGGCAGGCAGTTTTAGGAATAACGCGATGATGTGAAAACACAGAGCAGTTGATGGATCACTGAAGTGTGAGAAGTGAACTTCAGCTCTCAGCTCATGTGTGAGGTGTTATGTAATGGGTATCGCATCAGTGGTGCTTGAATCTATAGCTTCATTCTTGGACTTTTTCCACTATTACATCATTTATCAATGTGGGCCAAGGCTCAAGGCAATTTCGCCAAAATATTTATGATTCTATATTATTTGTGCATGTTTTATTTTATTATAAAGCTTTCTTGATTGGTATTGATGAACATAGAGGTGTATACATAATAGCGTACTTTGACATAATCACCTTCATCCAGCTTGTTAACAATTAACAGTTTATTTCAATAACATTTTAAAGATCCACATTCACAAATGTAAGTGGATTAAACATAAAACAATTAAGTTGTCCCAAAAAAAAAAAAAAAACTAAAGAATTGTGTTGTTTCTGCTCATTTGAATATAATTTGAGCGAACTGCAAACATAATTTCTAAGTGAAGGTAGATGCATTTCTACATTTAGGAAGATTGATAAATAGAATAAGAGTTAATTAAATAGATTTAATGCATAAATTAATGTTATTCCAGGAAGAAAGAAAACAGACAAACAAACTAACATGTATCAATATTCAATATTTAAAACATTACTTTTAAATCTGCTTGGGAAGAAGAACTTGCAGTAGAAATTCCAAGTGAAATTTGGAAACAATGTCTTGAACTAGTTCACAGATGTTCCATTAATGCAAGACATTGTCTCATTCACTTTAAAGTACTTCATAGGCTTCATTATTCCAAGTGTAAATTGAATAAAATATTTCCAGAAGTGTCCATAGTGTGTGACAATTGTCAGTTCTTAGATTCCAACCTGTCTCATTCCTATGTTATGTGTCCCAATTACAGAGTTTCTGGATCAAAATATTTCAAGTTTTTCAATTACAATAGATATTGCGATTAAACCAGATCCTATATTAATTATATTTGGAGTTTCCAAAGATTTTGTTACACGGGTACAACAACAGTTTCATATGGGTTGATCTTTGTAAAAAAAAACTCATCCTTTTGTTTTGGAAGAAAAAAGAAGTTCCAACTCTTAAATTACGGCTGACAGAGTTAACAGATACACAACATCTGAAAATAAAATCAGATATACCCTAATAAACAAGGTTTTGTTATTTGAAAAAAAAATTGGTACCCTTTTATTTCCTTTTTACAAACTTGTAATTAATATGCTTACTATGCCTTTTGTACCTTTGTTTATTGTTAGATGGCACTGGTGGGTGGTTGGTTGGGGGAATAAATGTTTATTTTATAATTTTGTTATTTTAAATTTTTTAATTATTATTTTTATTAATGACTGTTGTTTGTGGTTGTTTTTTTATTAATACTATTTATTTATTTATTTTTTTCAAATTTCATTGTTTGAATGCAAGTTTTATGTTTGTTTTAAAAAAAGTGTATTTTCAAGTAAATGTCTGCGAAAATTTCTAATAAGAAAAATACGGAAACAAAAAAAAAACTTTATTATTTGTAACACTTTTAATACTTTTTTGCTATAATCATTTAATTGAATTTAAAAATCATTTTAAAATATCTAAAATTATATTAATATATTACTTATATTAATTAATTTTACATTGAATGTTAGAAACAAATCTAATATCAATATGTATTTAATTCATAATACATTAATATTTTGTGTTTTTAGCTGAAAAACCTTCACAGAAATAAGAGTCATTTACTTTAGCAATACGATTTGACCTCGACTTTAAACCTTTATAACCTTTCAAAATGCACCCTAACACAGGGCGGTGATTATATGGCCCTTGATAATTCTCTATTACCGCAGTTATCACCTTCATTTCAAGAACACACGATTACATAATCATATCAACAGGTAAATGTTCCCTGCTTCATCAAATGTGTGGCAATCTGCTGCTGTTGATTAATAATAACCACATGCGATTTAAATCATAACATTTGGCCACAGTATCACCACCACACATTGTGAAAAAAAATGAAATCCACCTTTATTTGTGAATGCTGAATTTAAATGACTAGTTTTATCACCAAACGATTGGTGTATAACGCATTATGTGCTTCAATGATAAGATAAAATCAGATGTACCAAGCATTTTATCACATTAGATGACCTCAGCTTAAAAGGCAAACACGTATCAATGGATGTTTCCTAACTGTGAATGTGATTTGACCAAGTAGAGCATTGTCTCTGAAATCAATGAGTTAACATAAATAAATGTAATTACTTAGAAACATACACTGATAGGATTTCGCTGTGGATGCCATCTTGTGGTCAGATGGATTAATTGGGAATTCATTTGGTACATGAACTCTCACAGTGAGTTATGCGTATTGTTTGGCTGTTGAATGCACATTAATTGTACACTTGTAATTGTGGTGCATTGTGGGATTGATTGAGTGCACTACATTCACTATGATTTCAGACACCACTGCAATGGCTATTTGAAAATAGTGCCCTATATTTAAGTGTATACTGTAGGGCAGGGGTTCTCAAACAACTTTAAAGCCGGCGACCCCCAATGTAAGATCGTCAAGAACTCGCGACCCCCAACTACCAAAGCATATACAAACAATAAAAATAACGTATTTTAAGCTGTTCACAAGATTTTAAGTAAATTTACTGTACATTGCAGAGCTCGAAATTAACATTTTTGCTTGGTAGCACTGGTGCTGCTAACTTTAAAAAGAATTAGGCGCACCGGCCAAAATTTTGTCGCACCCACTAATTTTGAGCACTGTTGCTACAAGTTTTATAAACAGATTTATTGCATTTCAAATCAACACTAATTAAAGCTAACAAGCAAATATATATATATATATATATATATATATATATATATATATATATATATATATATATATATATGCGTGAGGAAAATATGTATCAATGAAATCCCATTATTACAAGAAAATATATTTTTACAACATAATTGAGTGACCAAAAGATACAAGGACCGCTCACCGGCCCTACACGCACTGCTTGACATGAATGAATCTGTTAATGTTACATTACTGTGCTGTGGTCTCACGGGTGGTGTCTGATATTGCACAGATGCTTTTGACATATACCTTATTATTTGCATACATCATTTTAATAGCAAAACCGGTCTTTTCATAAGCTGCAATATTTAATCTTAGTTTGTGCTAGACCTTTTGCGATGTAATAAAAGCAGTTTTTTATTTTTTTAACACCATTTTAAGGACAAAATTATTAGCCCCTTTAAGCTTTTTTTTTTTTTTGATAATCTACAGTACAAACCATCATTATACAATAACTTGCCTAATTACCTTAAACCTGCCTAGTTAACCTAATTAACCTAGTTAAGCCTTTAAATGTCACTTTAAGCTGTATAGAAGTGTCTTGAAAAATATCTGGTAAATTAATATTTACTGTCATCATGACAAAGATAAAATAAATCAGTTATTAGAAATGAGTAAGTAAAACTATTATGTTTAGAAATGTGTTGAAAAAATCTTCTCTACGTTAAACAGAAATTGGGGGAAAAATAAACAGGGGGATAATAATTCAGGAGGGTTAATAATTCTGACTTCAACTGTATACCATGAAGGGGAAAATGCAGTGAGTTTATGCAAACCAGTCTACAAAATCAAATTATAAAAATAAAAGTACCTCAGATATTCAGCATAGTTTCAGTGTGTTTGTGTTGCAATCTTAGTCAATTGCTGGGGAAAATACTTTCAGACATGGAATGTTGTTTCTGGATCTCTTACTTTTGAAATCCTTTCCTGATAGGAAAAATGGCTGGGCCAAAGCCGCGTATCATCAGTTTGACCAAGCGAGAGAGCCAGGGTTATGGCTTCTACCTTCGCGTGGAGCACGGCGAGGAGGGTCACCTGATCCGAGCGCTGGAGATGGGTGGTGCTGCAGAACTGGCTGGTCTGAAGGATGGAGACCGGATACTGAGAGTCAATAACACATTTGTGGATAATCTTGAGCACACTCAGGTTTGACAATTTTTTATTGTAAATTAAATATGTTTTTGGTTAAAATGTCACAAACTTTCCTGTTTCTGCAGTGTATTTTCACACCTCTGTTTTGGAAAGGATTCCCAAAGTTTGTAATGTTTAACACAGTGCACACTTTAGGTGAACAATTAATCCATGCATGTTAATTGACTGGAAAAATTCACGTAGACTTTAAGGCACAAGGGTCAAGTGCTGAAAGAAGAAATGGATAGCATAAAAAGTGGACTTCATTAAACGCATTGGCTGGCTTGCTTGGAACTTGTGGAGCTGTATATATATATATATATATATATATATATATATATATACATATATATATAAGTTAATATATGCACATTTTTAGGGGGATTGCATTTTACGGCAGGGGCACTATCTCTCCAGTCTCTTCTTAATTCCATTAAATTCAATTCATCTTTATTTCTCTAGCGCTTTTATAGAGTAGATTGTGTCAAAGCAGCTCAACATAGATGTTCTAGTAAGTTGAAAATGTGTCAGTCCAGTTTTAAGAGTTGAAGTTCAGTTAAGTTCAGCTCAGTGTGGTTTAATTTTCACTGCTGAAAGTCTAAACACTGAAGAGCAAATTCATCGAGGGCAGCTCCACAAGTTCCAAGCAAGCCAGCCAATGCGTTTAATGAAGTCCACTTTTTATGCAATCCATTTCTTCTTCAGCACTTGACCCTTGTGCCTTAAGGTCTACGTTATTTTTCCAGTCAATTTGACTTGCATGGATTAATTGTTCACCTAAAGAATAACAGTGTATATGTAATGTATGTATATATCAATAATAATAATAATAATAGAGATTTGACAACTAATAACAGTGCTTGGGGTGAGTTCCATGAATAACCCTTCCCACACAGAAGAGAAATATGCAGTATTTAAATAAATAAATAGTTTTAATTTAAATACAATATAGATTAAAGAGCCATGACACCCCCAACTTTTGGTTCAGGTCTACCTCAGAATTTTTTCAAAAGATGCATCATAATGGGCGTGGAGCTCCGCGAGCAAAGAGCAGGAGTGGGCGTGGCCAGCAGAGCAGGGGAGAAGGAGGGGAGTGAACAACCGTTGGGTTGTCAGTTGGCTCACAAAATGAGACACAAACTGTGAGACGCATGATTTTATAGTTTACAAAGTTAAAATAAAAAGAAATAAACAGTAACTTAAGCCCTGCTACATTTGTCATTTGTAATTTTATATACAGATAAGCCGGCAGCTAGCTCTCTGCAACTCTCACATGGTCGCCCACAGAAGCTAAGCAGGGCTGCGCCCGGTCAGTACCTGGATGGGAGACCACTTGGGAAAGCTAGGTTGCTGCCGGAAGTGGTGTTAGTGAGGCCAGCAGGGGGCGCCCAACCTGCGGTCTGTGTGGGTCCTAATGCCCCAGTATAGTGACGGGGACTCTATACTGCTCAGTGAGCGCCGTCTTTCGGATGAGACGTTAAACCGAGAGCCCCACTCTCTGTGGTCGTTAAAAATCCCAGGATGTCCTTCGAAAAAGAGTAGGGGTTTAACCCTGGCATCCTGGCCAAATCTGCCCACTGGCCTCTGTCCATCATGGCCTCCTAACCCTCCCCATATCGTGATTGGCATATCATCACTTTGTCTCCTCTCCACCAATCAGCTGGTGTGTGGTGTGCGGTCTGGCGCAAAATGGCTGCCGTCGCGTCATCCAGGTGGATGCTGCACACTGGTGGTGGATGAGGAGATTCCCCCCCCATTGTGTAAAGCGCTTTGAGTGCCCAGAAAAGCGCTATATAAATGTAACAAATAATTATTATTATTATTATAACCAAAATTTATGTCATTATAAAGATAATCGTGTTCATATAAACACTATAAATGAGGACTTCTCCCTCAATCCCCGGGTCTGAATGCAGACTATCTATTTACCCTGTCTATTTTAATCTTTAGCCCTGCTGGTAATCTGGAGGATTTGGGCGAACACAGCAACACAGCGACGTATCTAAATGTTAATAAACTCCTGATAAAAGACAACATCCACCATTCTCCAATTCTCGTACTGCTCTCCCGACAAAAATGCTTGCACACTAACAGCTTTGCTGTTTCGGCCCTGACAGCATTGTGGGGAAAAAACATGCAACAAACCCCATGGATCATGGAAACAAACACATACGACCCTTTATGAACAGCTAAATACTGTGTGCCATGGACGTTGTCTCACTCAATCATCAACATAGGATCTCACAGCTTGGCACTGGCAGGTCTGCCTTGCCTTCGGAAAGCATGCGTAGTCATGAATAATTAAGAAGCCGGCTCTACTTATAGGATAAGAAAACTCTGCTATAAATAATAATAAGAAACCGACACATCATCTTGCAGTTCTTGCCTCAAAAATATTTTTTAAAAAATATAAAACCGGAGGCTAAAATTAGCTGACAAAAGCTCAAAATTATCCAGTTTTCCCCACAATTAAAGCTAAAATGTGCTAACATTGTCTTAACTGATGATCAACACACACAAATCTGTTAAGATCTCAAAAAAAAAAAAAAATACCTGAGGGTTTCGTGAACCTTAAGTAAAGTGAATGGTTAAATGTATGCGTTAGCTGAAAACAACAACAGTTTTATGTTTTACGTTTGTTTAAAACCATTACATCAGGGAATAATATGCATTTCTTATGCATAATAATAACATTACATCTCATTTATTAAGCCAGCTCTTTCTCCTGAATAAATGTGGAGAATCCAAAACTCTGATGACCTATATGTGTACTCTACAATCCTGACAGCCAATCATCACTTTGAATTACCACATAATGTATAAAATCACATAAAGTCTTCAACTTCAACTTTTAAAACTGGACGAATGAATGTTAACATCTCCAGAAAATGTGTTTCATTTGGTCAGGGTTTCATGACCTGACACTTTTTTATTATAAATTTTGGGTCAGGTTGCAGATTTGGTGAGGAACAGTGGCATGAGCGTCACATTGCATGTGCTTGGAGAAGAGGCCTATAAGACAGCAAAAGCCAACAATGTGAATCTTGCTGACCTTCAGTCCTTGCCAGGTCAAAGCCAGCCCACCATGAACGGAGTGTCTACACCAGCTGCTAAAGCCAAACTGTGTTATCTGCAAAAATCCAGCAGTGGATTTGGTTTCTCCTTAAAGTCCACCAAGGGTAAGCCAATAAATAAATAAATAAAACAATGCAATGACCAGTCTATTGGCCAACAGCTTGACATCTGGTCCACAATAATACTTCTCTGTGACCAAAAGTCCTACTTCTTATCTCAAAATTAAAATAAGTGTCGGTAACAATGTTGTTATTTGAAATTCTGTCTTGGAAATTAGAATTTCATTTCATTCATTTTCTTTTTGGCTTAATGCCTTTATTAATCCGGGGTCGCCAACTTATCCAGCACATGTTCCACATAGCGGATGCCCTTCCAACTGCAACCCATCTCTGGGAAACATCCACACACACTCATTCACACTTATACACTACGGACAATTTAGCCTACCCATTTCACCTGTACCGCTTGTCTTTGGACTGTGGGGTAAAACGGAGCACCTGGAGGAAACCCACGCGAACGCAGGGAGAACATGCAAACTCCATACAGAAACGCCAACTGACGCAGCCGAGGCTTGAACCAGCAACCCTCTTGCTGTGAGGTGACAGCACTACCTACTGCGCCACTGCATCACCTAATTTAATTTAATTTAATTTAATTTAATTTAATTTAATTTAATTTAATTTAATTTAATTTAATTTAATTTAATTTAATTTAATTTAGGGCAACGCAGTGGTGCAGTAAGGGCATCCGCTGTGTAAAAACGTGCTGAATAAGTTGGAGGTTCATTCCACTGTGGTGACCCCGGATAAATATTTATTTTATTTTATTTTATTTTATTTTATTTTATTTTATTTTATTTTATTTTATTTTATTTTATACATTTTTAGACCAATTCTGTTAATGACAGAAATATCAAAAATTGAGAAAATGTTTTTCGAAAGTATAAATTTATTTATATCCAAAGCAATAATAATAATAATAATAATAATAATAATAATAATAATAATAATAATAATAATAATCATTATTATTATTATTATTATTATTATTATTATTATTATTATTATTATTATTATTATTATTATTATTATCATATTTACAGCATATAGACAGTTTCATACAGCAAATCATACTTAACTAAAATGCTTTAATCGGAGTTTTAAATTGTGAAATTTGAATGGTGAAGTTTTGTATTGAACAACCTACAATTCTTGGCCTAATTAAAATATTGGAACAGTTAGTTAATCTAAAAAACATGATCTTAGGAAACAGTAGAATATGTGGACATTGAAGATATTTAAAAATGAGCAGCAAGACTTTATAATGAATGCGATACTGAATTTGAAGCCATTGGAGTTGAAAAGGAAGAGGTGTGATGTGTTCAGTGGTGCATGTATGAGTGGCAGTCCTCACAGCTGAATTAAATGGCAAAATGAAGTAGCTTCACAGCGAAAGACTTTTGAAAGAGAGTTTTCAATAAAGCCCCATTAAACTTTACTTTTGTTAGTGCAAAGCTTTTAAAAAATGGTCACATGAATGGTACCATCCACCAAACATTAACTAAAGTATTTTGTGAAAAGTGTACAGTTGAATAAATGTGATAAACAATAGGAGACCCAACACTGAGCCCTGTGGAACACCATAAGTAAGTCAGGTGCACACTATACCATTTGGTTACATGAGCCAAAATTAGAAAATCTCAAATGTTCCTACTCTGCTAAGGCAGGGGTGCCCAAACCCTGTCCTGTAGGGCTGGTGTTCTGCAAAGTTTAGTTCCAACCCCAATCATACACCTAGGCTAGCTAATCAAGTTCTTAAGCTGCAGTCCCAATCACTTTCTCCCCATAAATTTCTCCCCATAATTTTCCAATTCTATTTCCAATTTGAAAGACCCACCTCCCTACTAAGAAAATCCAGAATATGGCCCCTATGTGAGCTCATCTGCTCCATTTTTTACATTATAAATTGTGAAAATAACCAATAGAAGAAGGCTTTAAGAAGAATAACCAATAAATTAGCCAATAAAAGAAGGCTTGTATTAATTAAATTGACAAATTCTGACTAGGGAAATGAGCTGGCCAGTTTGTTATTTGCATATAGGCTACAGTTTTTAATGTAAAACAAGTTTTAACCGATTACCAATTTAATTTTTGTTTTTGTTTGCTGTTTATGATGGAGGATAATAAATTGGCATTTAAAAATAAGTTTTTTTTTTATATTTCTAAAATTCTAATGTCACTACATTATATATATATATATATATATATATATATATATATATATATATATATATAACTGTATTAACTTAGTAAGTAATGTGTGATTATATAGCGCATTTATCGTATTTGGCCGTACACCCAAAGCGCTTCACACTCATGAGGGGGGTCTCTCCACACCACCACCAGTGTGCAGCATCCGCTTGGATGATGCAATGGCAGCCACAGGACAACGGCGCCAGTGCGCCTACCAAACACCAGCTATTGGGGGAGTGAAGAGACAGTGATAGAGCCAGAAATTGGCCAGGACAATGGGGTTACACTACTCTTTATGAGACATGCCATGGAATTTTTATGACCACAGAGAGTCAGGACCTTAGTTTAACATCTCATCCAAAAGACGGCGCCCACTGACAATATAGTGTCCCCTCACTATACTAAACATTAGGAGTCACACAGATTACAGGTTGATCGCCTCCTGCTGGCCTCTCTAACACCACTTCCAACAGCAACCTATTTTCACATGTGGTCTCCTATCTAGGTACTGACAATGCAGGCTCAAACCTGCTTAGCTTCAGTGAGGGTAACACTTTAGAATAACTATCCGTTATAACCAGTTAATAGTCCATTAATAAACTGTTAGTTAATGGGTTATAAATGGCTTCTTAACTGTATTTTAATGATTTATAACTACCTAGTAAATTAGTAATAGATCATGATCAAGCTGTTGGTAAATTACTTACTAAAGACTTGTTAAGTATCAGCTAATAGTTTATATATGTTATTGGGACGTTATTTTAAATTTGCAACTATTCTTCATTTATTAACTGTTGGCAGATGAGGAATAGTTGCAACTAGAATAACGTCCCAATAAAATACATAAACTATTAACTGATACTTAACTAATATATTGACTCACACTTTACAAATCAGTTGTTTATAGTCTGTTTATCATCTACTAATGCAAGTGAAATTTTATAGAATTTTTTTAATAACAGAAATTGTATTTATTTTGTTTTCATGTTTAGCACAAAAAGTGCCAAAACCTCGTGGGTTTGCATTCTGTTGTATGCTGCTGTTCTGCCATGTGATGGTTCAGTATGTGTGTTTCTATACATTAAACACAATGTTCAACATTTCATCTGTGGAATTTCTTTGGTAAAATACAGCACAAAGAAAAGCCCATGAGTGGAACAAGGTTAAGGTACAAACATTTTTTATTTAAAATATTAAAATCAAATTTCTGTGGCTTGAACTTGCTCCATCCATTTGCTGTTCTACAAAGTTTCACTGGTATTATTAGATGATTAACAAATATGAACAACTGATCTGTAAAGTGTGAGTTAATATATTAGTTAAGAGTTAGTTAATAGCTTATATATGTTATTGGGACGTTATTCTAAAGTTGCAACTGTTCCTCATTTACTAAGTTAATAAATGAAGAATAGTTGCAACTTTAGAATAACGTCCCAATAATATATATAAACTTTTAACACACCATTAACAAGTTTTTAGTAAGTAATTTACCAACAGCTTGATCATGATCTATTACTAATATTCATTCATTTTCTTGTCGGCTTAGTCCTTTTATTAATCCGGGGTCACCACAGCAGAATGAACAGCCATCTTATCCAGCAAGTTTTTACGCAGCGGATGCCCTTCCAGCCACAACCCATCTCTGGGAAACATCCACACACATATTCACACACACACTCATACATTCATACACTACGGGCAATTTAGCCTACCCAATTCACCTGTACCACATGTCTTTGGACTGTGGGGGAAACCGGAGCACCTGGAGGAAACCCACGCAAATGCAGGGAGAACATGCAAACTCCACACAGAAACGCCAACTGAGCCGAGGTTCGAACCAGCGACCTTCTTGCTGTGAAGCGACAGCACTACCTACTGCGCCACTGCCTCGCCTATTACTAATATATTAGGTAATTATAAATCATTAAAATACAGCTAAGAAGTCATTCATAACTTGTTAACTAACAGCTTGTAAGTTATCTGTTGGCCTTCTATTCACCTTATTCTCCGCCGACGAGTGGGCGCTGAAATTTGAATCTTTTTGGCTTGAGACTTCCGGTCTCATTCACTTACATTCATTTTTTGACATTAAAAACTGCTCATTACGCTGCTTGATGTTTGCAATTTGATATTTTCTTATTATAGTATTCTACTTGGTCTATATAGTCATGCAAACATTTGTTTGTAGAGCAAGTAGTTTGACCGTTTTCTGCCGTTTATTATTCCTAGTCATTTCTCCCATAGGCGACTGAATCGGAAGTTCTAAGACAATCGCGAAACAGGCGCACATCTGCATTTTAGAATAAGATCAATAAGGCACAGTTATAAATAATTAACAAACTATTAAGTTTTATTTAACAAGTAATTTACAACTCATTAACTAACAGTTTATTAATAATCTATTAAGTAGTTAAAACGGATAGTTATTCTAAAGTGTTACCTAACCATCCGACAAACTAATCCAACACAAATAATTGCTTAAAATGTCACTAAAATGCAGTGTTTGAACCTGTGTTTGAACCTTTTGAGAAAAAAGAACCTCTCCTTTTAATAAGCTGGCTATGGACCTGTGATAGAACTATCTTTTTAAGAGGGGGGGGCGAGTTTTGTGGAAAAGGCATTGTTGAATATCATCTCTTTAAAAGTTGCAGTTATGCAGTTAACATAGTAAATAAGCAAACAAAAGTGGATCCTACACCAACCGCTGTGGAACACCATTCATAAAGAAGACTCTGAATGAACAATCGTAATCTGTAAAAATTGATTTAAATAGGATTAAAACCAAATAAGTGGATTTTCTTTGACCACGACGCATGTCAAGCTTTGTAATTATATTAAATTCCAACTGCAAGAATGACACTCTTAAATATACAACTTTAAAAGAAGGTTAACAGCAATGTCTGCTTTGTTGTATCCATAGTAGACTGATTTAAGAACTGTGTTCCATTCAGAAGGGCTTATCCTTATGCCCTAATCCCCTTATTTACAGCACTTACAGTGCATCCAATGGATTAGGGCAAACGGATGAGCCCTTTATAATGGAATTCAGTTTGTAGGACTAAATAACTTTTGTGCAAACGATCATTGGGGTCTGAATGTTCGTTAGTTGTACCCTTTGAAATCCTTCATTCCAATGGGCCCTTTGATATGTACAACCCAGGCTCATTGTGGAAACGTAGCCCTGCGGACATTTCTGGAGGCCGCGAAAAAAGTCCCAGGAGGTACGTATTCATGCAGGTTTTGTTTTCGCGAATCCGTGAGAGGGGGCTGCGGCGTTCACGCCCGTGCTGTTCTCACGCGAAAAGCCGCCGGAGGCCACTGTCGAGCGACCGTCTGTCCCAAGTGATGATTTACAAAAGCCGTCTAGAAATATAAAAAAAAGCAAAAGTTCTCGTCCGATTTTGACTGCGTTTTCGTGTTTCGCCCCATTCTCGCCCCATTGCGAACTCCACGCTTTTATTTTTTGGATTCTGTTTTTCATCTTACCTGACTTCAGGAACCGCTCTTCCCCGGACTCGATCCTGGTCGTCGTCGCTGCGGCCGACTCCTTCTCCAGGCCTCTGCTCCGCCGACGTAACAGTGCGAGCTAAGCGGACAAACTAGTTGCGGCGGGAAAGCCCTGCACACGGAGTTGAGCCATCACAGTCAGCGAGCGAGCGCAAAGAAGAGGAGCAGCGTCACACCGCCCCGCAGCGTTCGTTCGAAAAAAACAAAATGTGGACATACGTACTTCTGGCCACGTAAATCACGTTCTCCAGAAATGTCTGCAGGGCTAGGTTATCGGAATGAGCCTGGGTTGGATATGTAATAGGCATACGGCTATATGAAGAGAGAATTATGAGTAGGGCAGGAGGTCATTCCAGACATCCCAAGTCTCCTGGAAGTTTTGGGAGTCTCCCGCAAATGCACTGAGACTCCCGGATGCCTGCAAACGAGTGATAATCTCTGGTAAATTGTGCATCTCCCTCCCGCTCCTCAAATACGTCATGCACCCTTCTCACCTCTCCCCACCGCATCCATCCTCGCTCTTTAGACATGTCGCGCCCACCTTGTCAAACGCCACCAAACCACCACCCCCTCTGACAGCTGAGCGGGACTCTACAAAATGAACCTTGAAACTCTGACCAATGAGATGAGAGTTTACGCACACGTGACTTGTTTTAGCTATTTTGGTCCATTTAGAAACTTTTCCGTGTGAAAGGGAACTGCATCAAGAACAACAAGTAACATTGTAACAATTTTAATTCCTGTTTCGGAACAACTAAATCGATTCACAGGTGTGAGAGCACCCTAAGTGTTTTCTAGTGCACCGTGCAGTCTACAGTGACCAAGTGGTCTTCTGATATTGCGAAAGTTAAATCTGTCGAGATCGAAGACGGGGGCTTTTGTTGCTTTTTTTTTTTTTTTTCCGTTCCGGCGGCTATTCGCACAAGAACGGAGCGGGCGAGAATGCCGCGCGCTCCCGAGAGGCGCCCGCCCGAGACGCGAAAAAGCGCGCACAGCGGCCTCTCGTGGATCCGCGAAAACAAAAAAACGCTCGAATACGTACCTCCCGGGACGTAAATCGCGGTCCGCAGAAACGTCCGCGGGGCTACGTTTCCACAATGAGCCCGGGTTGAAAAATCAGTATGTGTTTGAAAAAAACTTGTTTTTTTTCCGCAGGGGCTCATGGCATATTCATGGTAGACGTGGTGTCAGGAGGAGTGGCAGATCAGGCAGGTGTGAAGCTCGGTGATCGCCTAGTGGAGATCAACAGTGAAAATGTTGAGCATCTCGTACATGATCAGATTGTGCAAAAAGTAAGTAGAATGACTTTTTTTGTTAAATGATAAATCCTGTCTACATACTATATTTTTGCTAACTTATAAGACTTTGTTCCACAACATCTAGTAAGTCTTTTAAAAACCTGATCTGTTGTTCATAAAAATTGTCTTCAATCCAGGGGCTACAGTGCTTTTTCCAATTAATTGTTACCTTGAGACTTGCTCTGACTGCATATAATCGAATAAGTGAATCGGTAACTTGAGATTCATTCTGGCCAGATCATTTGAATCAGTAATTTGTTACTTTGAGAAGGGTTTTGACTTGTTCATTTGAATCAGTGAATTGTTACCTTGAGACTCATTCTGGCAAGATTATTTAAGTTTTTTTATTTACTTTAGACTCCTTCTGTTCTAACTGGTTCATGTAAATCAGTAAATTGATCATTTGGGACTCGTTCTGACTGGATTACTTGAATCAGTGAATCATTTTCCTGAGATTGGCATTGACTAATTCATTTGAATCACTAAATAATTAACTTGAGGCCTATTCTGACAGTATTATTTGAATCTGTGAGTTGTTAAATTAAGATTCTTTCTGACTGGATCATGAACATTAGAAAATTTCTCATTTGAGACTCGTTCTGACTGGATCATTTGAATGAGTGAATCGTTTACTTTAGACTGGCTCTGACTGGTTCATCTGAATCAGTAAATAGTTGAATATAGACTCACTCTAACTGGATCATGTGAATCAGTGAATTGGTTACCTGGGACTCGTTCTGATTGTTTAATTTGAATTAGTGAATCGTTTACTCAAGACTGGCTCTGACTGGTTAATTTGAATCATGGAATGGTTGAATGTTTACTTGCTCTTACTGTATCGTTTGAATCAGTGAATCGTTTACTCGAGACTGGTTCTTATTGGTTCATTTGAATCAGTGAATGGTTAACTGTAGATTAGCTCTAACTGAATCATTTGAATCGTTTACTCGAGACTGGCTCTAACTGGATCATCTGAATCAGTGAAATGTTTCACTTACAATTAATGGAATAAAATTGGTACAATATTTTGCAAAGATGTAAAGTAAAATGTCTCATTAAAGAAAAAAGAAATACTCCAATAGAGTACAAATATTAAAAAAATGTACATAAGTACAGTAGTGAAGTATAAATATTAGTTACTGTCCCCCACTTTTCTTTTGTTATTATAGGTGAAAGCAGCAAGTGACAGATTAATGCTTCTGCTGGTGGATGAAGAAGCTGACAGATATTTCAAGAGCAAAAACATTCAACCAGGTGTTTCTCATGCCACAGTCAAACACCTCCCGCATAAGCCGCGCATTGCAGACATGATCAAGAGAGCCGATGGCTATGGCTTCATGCTGAAGGAAGATCCTAAACGTAAAGGTGAGTATGTACAGTATGTCAACATTATATTATATTTATGGAACTTTAAGACCATGATTTTGCCAGTGTTGGATAAAGTTACTTTTAAAAGTCATATATTACCATCTTAAATTAATGCTAATCTGTAAAAAAAAAATGGTCCCACTTTATATTAAGTGGCTTTAACTAATATGTACTTACACAGGATCTAATAGTTTTGTTACAATGTACTTATTGTGTAAATACATGTATTTACAGTGTACTTATGCTTGATTAAATACATGTATGCAATTACATCTGTACTTAACTTTTGTAATTACATTTGTAAATACACTGTTGACCATCCCTTACACCTTAACCTTAAACCTACCCATGCCTAAAAACCTGTCCATAACCTCTATCCCCACTCAAAAGCACCACGTGTTCGCAAATACATTATAAACACAGTAAGTACAATGTATTTATTTTTTTGATGTAAGTACATAGTAGTTAAGAACACTTAATACAAAGTGGGACCAAAAAAATAATAATAACACATCATATCACATTGTTTTCCCTTAAAAAATCTAAGTGACACATTTAGTTAAGTGACCTAAGATTGTAATACATTACTTTTAAAAGGAACTTTACCCAACACTGAATGAGCATGCTTATGTGTAAATACCAACTTAAAATATAACAGCCATGTCTCTCTCTCTCTCTTTATATTTACTTTAAAAAATAGATAATATAATCAACTGAAAATATAATTTGTAAATTGTTCATTTTTTATTAAGGTATTTTATTATTATATTCTCCACTGATTGTACTAATATATTAATATTTTTGCATTGATTTATTTTTTTATTCACACTTCTATTATTCATTTAAACATTTTATTTTTCATTTATTAATTAGTTTGTTTCTCAAATTTAATTTTATTTAAATGTCCATTATATTACAATTATTACATAATTTTACACGTGTTTACTTGTTTATATATAAAAAATGTATTTTATTTATCTATCTTATTTGCATTATTCATTATTAATATTTATCCATTTTATTTTTATTTAATTGTTTATATTTTTATTTTATTTATTGATTTAGTTATTAAACATTATATATGTATATATATATATATATATATATATATATATATATATATATATATATATATATATATATATATATATATATATATATATGTATGTATATATAAGCCTAGTTAAGCGTTTAAATGTCACTTTAAGCTGTATAGAAATTTCTTGAAAAATATCTAGTGAAATATTATTTACTGTCATCATAGCAAATATAAAATAATTCAGTTATTAAAACTATTATGTTTAGAAATGTGTGTGTGTGTGTGTGTGTGTGTGTGTGTGTGTGTGTGTGTGTGTGTGTGTGTGTGTGTGTGTGTGTGTGTGTGTGTGTGTGTGTGTGTGCGTGCGTGCGTGCGTGCGTGTGTATGTATGTATATATATATATATATATATATATATATATATATATATATATATATATATATATATATAATCATAATTTCATAGATGCATTTCGCTCAAAGTGAAGTAGCCTACATTTAATTGCATGGATGTCTCTCTGGAGCATTCTGATGTTAAGTGCACTTCTCACAGGGGAAATACTGCAGGATTGTCATTTCCTGGATGCTGTAAATTTGATGTTAGCAGCCCAGATTCTGCTGACCAGAGCATTACTATTGCCCTTATTTATCAAAATCTTTTGTACCTTTGTTTTTTTTTTTTGGTCGATCATGATATAGTGCACTGGTGCCAAGAGAACTTATACTGATGTTTATTGCATTGTAAATATGTTCATGCTGGGTAATTGACATGTGTAACGGAGGAATTTTGATAATGCTGTACAGTCATATTTAAAGGTTATCTACTGCAATGGCTGTATATAAAGCTGTAAAAGTGTTCTCACAGTACACTGCAAAAAAATATTTTATTTATGTTTTCGGACTGCATTATGAAACCTTGATCTTTGCTGGATGTTGGAAATTGCACTCTACAGTTTATAAAAGTGACTGTTGTTGACAATTTTTAGTTTACTTCAGGGGTGTTTGAACCAATTAATTTGGACCTAAACACCACTTGATAATTACAGACAGGTGTGTTTAATTTGGATTGCAACTGAAATCTGCAGGAAGGTGGCTCTCCAGGAACAGGGTTGGCCACCCCGGTTTACTTCATACTTCGAAAAAATGTTGTCTCATAATGCAACTCAAAAACGTATTTAAACTGAAAAGTTCTATGAATCACAAGTTATGGGAACAGTGAAAAAGACTTTATAACATAAAAACAAACAAACAAACAAACAAACAAATAAATAAGAAAGAATAAAAACAAATACATAAAACTAAATAATATATTCAAAAAATGTCATTGGTTAAATTTTGAGCTTTGTTTTAGAAAATGGAAAAATAAATATGCTAAATCAAATAAAAATTAAAGTTTCTGAAATAATTCAGTAAAAACAATTGAATCTATCATCCAGAATTTAATTTCACTGTACGTTTTGTGTTGCATCTCAGGTCATTGCATTGGAGAAATTGACAAAGGAAGCCCCGCGGAGCGCGCCGGAATGAAAGATATGGACCGACTAGCGGCTGTGAACGGTGAGGATATCGAAAACTGCAAACATGAGCAGGTAGTGGAAAAAATATGCCAAGGAAACAAATGCTGCCTCCTGGTGCTAGACGCTGAAACTGACAAGATCTACAAATTGGTGAGTGTTTTTTTTTTTTTTTATACGCTAAATTAAACACACTAATGTATTGACATGGCTTAAATTATGATCAAAATTAGAATCCACTGTAAAAAAAAAAAAAATAGATACTATAGAAGTCAATGGCACTGTTTTTCAAAATGTCTTCAGTAACACTTTACTTTTAAGGGGGTAGTCATAAGACTGTCATGAAACCTATCATAATATTTAATTCATGAAATGCTTATGACAACTGTCTCATTTGCTTAATTATGTCATTGTGAATGCAAAGATGACATTTTTCGCAATGTCTTTGTCATGACAACTTGACATTACCAAGGCAACATAACTGGTCATAAATCTGTCATAAACATGATTGTCATGAGGCCGTTATAATTGTATCATTATAACAGCATCGTTATTATTCTTCTTGACCTGAACTATAATAACCTTCTTGACCTGAACTGAATAATTCCTGTAACAAAACCAGGAAATAAAAGTTATCGTGACCGAAGTCAAAGAGCATAGAATCACCAAGAGGGGATACTCAAAACGTTCCATTGCAACAACAGCACCCAGCAACAGCCCCGGATTACGCCATTTCGGGGCAAAAGCGATCCATTGGATCTTATTGTCGTCATGATGGAAAGCAGCTACTTTGTTTTTAATTTACATTTTTTTTTTAAAAAAGCGCATTAAAGCTGAGATACAACCTGTAAGACGAAAATACAACACTTACTATCACAATCATCAGCACGTTTGATAGTTATTTTACAGACTTATAATATGCTGTTGTTCTATTGGACAACAATCGAACATTTCATTCCAAAATGGTTTCCCCAAATCGCACTAGAGTGTCGCCTCTTAGTGATTCTATGCTCTTTGTCGACGTCTAAGACTAAAGAATATACAAGATGTGTCACTCGTATACTTTTGATTGGGGAAAAGTGTAAAAGTGTAGAATTTGATGTTTCCCCATTCAAACAGAATGCCCGAGCATACTGCCCGAAAGATGTTTCAAAGATGGCCGCCAAGTGAAATGACTTGCCTCAAAGAGACTTTGCTAACGTCCACCACACAATTTCAGTTTTCTCGACACATGGCGTCATTAAACGGTGACAGCGCAATAAAAACAGCATCACATTTCTGAACCATTTACTATTCAGTTCACTTCACAATTACGTGTCAAGTAAAAAAAAATAATAATGTAATGACTCATTTAGTCTAATCTTCAAGAAAAGCCCACAGTTACCTCTTCTGTCATGTTTTCCAGTGTCCCTGGAAAAAATTAGCCAGTGTCCCTCAACTATCTTATAAAGAATCCTCTCTGCTTCAGTTCTGCCTACAACATGCAGTCATTAATTACATTAAGATGGTCCTGGTGCCCACTATAGTTTTATACCACTATAACATATTTTGTAGCACAAACAACTTAACAGCTTTGTAAGCTAAATATATTGTTCCTGACACTTTAATAAGCAAATATAAACGTAATAATAATAGTAAAAAAACATTTAAAAAGCAAAAATTTACATGCCTCACTCCTTCCCATAAAATGTGCTTGTTTGTATGTCGGCCATTTTGGATGCAGTGTAAGAAGTGGCTCCTAACATGCCAGCCAATCAAAGGGCATACCACTAGAAAGCCCAGGATGTCCTCCGCACAGTACAACAGGACTTGACAGAGTAGCTCAAAAAATTAAAAGAAAATTCATGAAAACACTTGGTCCACTACTGAGGACGCAAGTCAATGGGCGGGAATATCCTTCCTCTTTTGTGTTACTCAGAAGACAAAAATCTCACAGATTTAGAACAAGTAAAAGTCAAGTAAACCATGATGACAGAATTGTAATTTTTAGCTGAACTATCCCTTTAAGTTCGATTGAACACATAAATAAGCATTTACCAAAAAAAAAAAAAAAAAAAAAAAAACACGGTCACAGTGTACTATCATTACCATTGACTTTACTATATATGTGTTGCATAGGGTGGGGTTTCTCCACTTCTGTACTGGGAGGAAATGAGAGGATCTCTGCCCGGATATCCAGACAATGAAGCTGTAGCAATACCTGCTGTGGCTGCAGCTGTACCTGCAGCCGTAGTCGCAGCCACACCCGCACCTGCAGCCACACCTGCACCTGCAGCCACACCCACACCTGTCCCAGCAGCAGCTGAACCAGCAGATGTTGACCACAAACCCAAACTGTGCCGGCTGGAGAGAACTTCTGCTGGGTTTGGCTTCCATCTCAATGGCATCCAGGGTGTTCCCGGGCAGCACATTCAAGAGGTGCAGTCAAAGAAATGTTGATGATCGAAATCTCTTTATGTTTTCAGTGGTCATTAAAAATGGTAATATTTGATTTTATTGTATTTATTCAGCAGTTATTATACTGTCATACACTAAGATTTAAGTTTAAGTTAACTTTTCACAACAAGGGACAGTGTACAGAGCTGAAGTGCATATAAAATCACACATTTGAATGACATATTTTAAGCATTTTTACATGTTTTAAAGCATCATAAGCATTGCACATGAACAAGAAATGAGTAAGAAGCAGCTACATAAAATTCTATAACATTAGCTACTTAAAATAGATTTTTTTTTTACAAAATTACTGAAAATATTACAATTTAAAATCAAATATTCAAATTTCAGTCTCTTCCTGTTTTATTTATTTTTATTTTATTTTTTTGCTTGTTCTGCCACTAACCTTATTTCTACCATACCATATTCACATTCTGTATGTACAGTCATGTGAAGAAAAAAAAAAAAAATAGGACACCCTATGAAAGCCTGGGTATTTTGTAATGTTTTAAAATTTATTTAATTTCGATTTTAACAATACAGAAAGGTTAATACAACTAAACAATTAACACTGAAGAAAAGACTTTTCAAGACCTTCTGTAAATGCAATTCTACAAACATGCATATTCTAACTGTGGACCAAGTTGGGACACCCTCACTCGCAGTCTTTCATAGGATGTCCTATTTTTTCACATAACTGTATGGGTGTGTGTGTGGGCATTCATTAATTCTTTTTTTTTATGTTTTTTAAACAGGTTTATGTTGATTTCATGCAATTTCAACAAATACATTTAGACTAAACTATATATAAACCAAATAATACATAAAATTAATTAACATTTGCCGCATTTTAAAATACCAAAATCGAATATGTTCCTAACACATTTCACTCATGTAATTATAAAACATTTGAATATTACATTTATTGCTTTGTCTATAAAATGGTGGAAAATGTCACATGCAATTCAAGTACATACAATAAGACCGACAATTTTTTGTTCTTTGAGTGTCATTTTAGCATAATTTTCAGAAATGCCTTCTTATTAATCAACATTGTGAAGACAAGGCCTTTTGATCTTGTTGTTGAATCATGTTGTTTATTTGAGTTTTGTTTTTAGTTTGTATTTTTATTTATTTATTTACTCTTTTATTTATTTATTTGGTATAGGCCTTTAACATCTGGCAAAGAGACTACCAATGAAAACTAGTCTTTGTACTAATTTGGGTACATTTGCGTTCTTGGTGAACGTAATGTGCACTGTCCCTTGTGAAAATTTAACTTAAACCTAAATCTTAGTGTATGACAGTATAATAACTGCTGAATAATAACAATAAAATTAAATATTACCATTTTTAATGAGTACTTGAATGCTGCGTTCAACATTTTTATTGTAGTTCTATCATTTTGTAAGTTGACAGACTTAGGGAGAGTTCACCTACAGCTAAAAAATATTTCATCGTTTACTCACCCTTCACTTATCACAAACCTGAGTTTCTTTTTTCTGTTCAACACACAAAAAAAAAGACATTTTGAAGAATGCTGGAAACATGTAACCATTAACTCCCATAGTATTTGTTTTCCTACTATGGATGGTCAATGATTACCAGTTTCAACCTTTCTTCAAACATCTTAGCTTCAGCAGAAGAAAGAAACTCATAAAGGTTTGTAACCAATTAACGCCAAGCAACTAGTGAATACATTTTCCTTCATGGGTGAACTATCCCTTTAAATCACTCTAGTTATACAACTTAAGTGTTGGTGATTGACACTTCTTTGGCTCTCGGCAAAGAAGACTCTTTTTTCCTGTCCCATCCATATCTCTCCTGGCTGGCTCTTCTTGTCTTGTCATATTCTCTCTCTGAGGCTTTCCTTGCCCTTCTCTCTAAACCAGTGGTTCTCAAACTGTGGTACGTGTACCACTAGTGGTACGCAGGCTTCCTTCTAGTGGTACGCGGATGAATCAAATATGTAATATGTACATGCTACATATATTTAAAGAAATTATCAAAAATGATTTATATACGAATATGATGACATAAAGCCTATATTTATGAGGTCTAGGCAACATTTCCAAGTGCTAACAAACCAGGAGTTATTTCTTTTTTTATGGTGGTACTTGCAAAGACAATTTTTTCCAAGGTCGTACTTGATGAAAAACGTTTGAGAACCACTGCTCTAAACAATAAAGAATTATATATTTTATTAACTGGTCTCTGTACGCAATTAACACCATCTTCTTGATGAGAAATCTGGGTTCAGGGGAACGCAACTGTCCTGCGGGAACCAGTGCTGCTGGATACATGATGGACGGGAGGGAGAAGTGGTGCGTCATGTGCCTGGCCGCTCTGTCCCTAGAGGATAATGAAGATATCCATCTATTCTGAACTTTGATAGCAAGGTTTCTGCTGATGGGGGGGGGCTGGGGTATCAATGATTGATAAAAGTGGTCAGTGTGGCTCAAAACCCCATCAAGCTGGCCAGCTGGACTGAAGTGGTGCTAAGCAGAGTTGCTACTAATCAGACTGTGGTCATAGACTGCAAATTGGAAAACATCAGGGGGAAACTAGCGGCTTTGCTACGAGATTTGGACAGACCTGGAAACCAATGATAGACATTAGATATCAGCAAAATTGGCAGATATTTACCAACATTTGGACACCTTTTCTCTTTTGGCTTCCCTGTGACACTCCTGCCAGATGGTCTCGGCTGGTGAAAAGCAACTTCCCCCGGGAAAAAAGATAACGAGATGCTCTGAATTCCTGATCTCTGATCCAAGAACACCTGTTGTGACTGTACAGGCTTATACACACATGTACACAGCTGAAGATACAATCACTGCCTCCCTCCACATCCCATGCCTTCATGTGCTTTTACGCACCGGTGTGGGTAGGTGGGTGACTGCCAGATGACTGTCGCTTTATCAGGTTATATTCACATCCCCTGTTCCCATCGCCTGTCGCAATGTTATGTCTATGTTTTTATGTGCCTGGTTGTTGGGTTTTCCCCCCTGATCTCACACTGCCCTACTTCAAGGATAGTCTGAGAGGGGCATTTTTCACTTCCTTTATTTTCCCAATGCATCTAATTTTCTCTTTCTAAAAGCTACCTCTTGTTTGACCTGTCTTCCCCTGACATGTGTGATGTTTGTGTATGGTCAGGGGGTCCGATTTCGCTACATGTAAAAGTGTATGTGACCAATAAAGGGTTTTCATCATCATTATAAACCTGAGTAACTGAATAAAGCTTGTAATGTGTTTTCTGGCAGGTGGTGAAAGGTGGAGCAGCAGACAGAGCTGGGCTGGTGGATGATGATGTTGTTGTGGAGGTGGATGGAGTGAATGTGGAGATGAGCACACATGAGGAGGTTGTGAACCTCATCCGCAACAGTGGAGACACGCTGGTCCTTCTGGTGGCCGACAGAAAAGCCTATGAGCATCTCAAAGCAAAAGGGATTCCCATCACCCCTCAGCTGTTGAATAAAGAGCCCGCTGCTGATGTCCCGGCACCAGCTTACACACAGGTGGATGGGAGGAAAGACACAGAAAAGGACATCGAAAAACCGGCCACTCCACCTGCTCCAACACGTTCAAGGGTCAGTACTGAAAAATTAATACATTTTTGATTTAGTAGTTATTTCATATTAATTTGTAGGATCTAATTTGTACATTTGTGTTTGATTAGCTCATCCCCCAAAATTGCGCCTTCAAATTTTGAGGCAACAAACTTTTTGAAAATTGTCAACCCTATTACTGCACTTGACTAGATTTAAGTTGAGTACACTAAAAATGGCCTGAAGTTTATTGCCTACAAAATTTTAAGCTGAGTCAATTTTTTACATTTTTGACAGTGAATGAGGGGTAGGGTGGAGTTTAGGGGCACGCCTCTCTTTAAAAACCATGTGTTCGAACAGCGAGGCAGTATCGCAGTAGGTAGTGCTGTCGCCTCACAGCAAGAAGGTCGCTGGTTCGAACCTTGGCTCAGTTGGCGTTTCTGTGTGGAGTTTGCATGTTCTCCCTGCCTTCGCGTGAGTTTCCTCCAGGTGCTCCGGTTTCCCCCACAGTCCAAAGACATGTGGTACAGGTGAATTGGGTAGGCTAAATTGTCCGAAGTGTGTGAGTGTCAGAGTGTGAATGTGTGTGTGGATTATTCCCAGATATGGGTTGCGGCTGGAAGGGCATCCGCTGCGTAAAAAACTTGCTGGATAAGTTGGCGGTTCATTCCGCTGTGGCGACCCCGGATTAATAAAGGGACTAAGCCGACAAGAGAATGAATGAATGAGTTCAAACAAATTGAATTGTATGAATTCGTAAGAATTAGCCACTGAATTCTGCCAATATGTAAAATAGTCACGTTTCTTAGAGAGAATGTGAGGATTTAAAGATACACTAAGCAATATTTCTAAAAACAACAACAACAACACAATAATCATGTCAGCTCAAGTCCAAATCACACAGCAGCCATTCAGCAGTAGGAACTACAGAAGAGCTATCATGCACTTACACAATTGGTTAGGTTTAGATTACTGTTATACTGTTATGGGCAGGGGTGTCAAACGTATGGCTTGGGCCAGATCAGGCCCGCAATCGAATTTAATGCGGCCTGCAAGATCATTCTGTGATCTGAAACTTTTCAATAAAATATACTGCTGTTCCAATTGTGTCCACTAGATGGCAAACTTAATATCATCCGATTCAGAAGCCTGAATCAGCATCAGTTTGACAGCCATCTCAAAGAGAAAGACCTCATCTATACTGTCATACCACGCCAGTGCTTTTCACACATAGACTTTATTTGGGCGGGCCACCCAGATATATTTGGTGGTGATGACACATAAATAATACTATTATCATCATCCTTTTACACTTTTTTTGGTATCCGTCCAAGAAATTAAACATTCGCGATCGATTAACCAGTGGAAAATCTTCTCTTGCTCTGCACGTTTCCTACTGCTGGTTCTGTGTGCGAGCGATCTGTCACTCACACGGGAATTCTGACGTGCTCTGCAGACCAACAGAGATGCGACTTTTCTGCCTAAATGCATCTGACGGTAGTTTCTGAATCGCCTAAAATGTCCAGGATTCAAGATTTACTTTCGCTTTCTAAAGTTGCCGTTATTTGTATGGGATTTTGCATTACCGTTTCGCAGCTGGCGGCGCACGCACAGCCACGAGAGAAACATTAAATGATTAATCATTTAATAAACGACCCAGATAAACTTTATACACGGAAAGAACAAAATGACAACTAGAATGGCTGCAAAGTATTTGTTTACCATCAGAAATTTGGTAACTTATTTGCCTTATTTAAATAATCTACTCTTTTTATTCTAGTAATTCTTGTAATTTTTTTGGCAATAATGTTTTTTATTCATTTTTTTCTGATATTTATTTTTCATTTGTATATTTTATTAATTTAATGATGTTAATATATTACATACTTTATACATATCTAAAAACTTTGACAATTCTGTAAATGTCATTCCAATATAGCAACTTTAGGGAAAGAGAGAGAGCAGAGCACCCTTTACCTGTCAGTGGGTGCACATGGCTCCTAAAAAGCATAAAAGTAAAATAAATAGTGAATTTCTATTATTTCAACAGCCTTTTAAAAAATAACTATAACCCATTGAAAAGAAAAAGTGTATAACAGTGTCATAATAAATACAAATCAAGTTTAAAAAAAACATTATTTTTTTGTTTGTTGCATGTAGTTGACCATTTATGTGCTGTGGGAAAAAGGTGTATTTCAATCAGGCTACCACTGCAAGTATATTTCAAACCAGTGGGAAGCCCTGCACACTGAAAGGTGATCTCACAAGGAAATGTATCTATTTTAAGTTTTGTGGCTATTTTTGTGGCTATTATATAGTCATATGAAAATGTACCATTTGAAAAAGGAGGCGTTGTACCCAACCACACCCATACCCACCCACCCCCCTCTATTTTTTGGACCAGTCCGGCCCACTTGAGAAGATTTTTACTTCATGTGGCCCCTGAGCTAAAATGAGTTTGACACCACAGGTTTAGTGGTGCATAATTATGCATAATGAAAATAACTACAGGAAGTACATGAAACAAGGACACCTTAATATAAAGTGTTAACAATATTTCTATTTCAAATAAATTCCTTTGATCTTCCTTTTCATTGAAGTATTGAGAATATAAATAAAGTATCAAATTTTCACAATTTGCATATTAAAAATGAGATAAGTTCCAAAAACAATTTCCTGGAGAACATTACATTCTCATGAATCTTTATCAGTTTTCAAATCGATACTAACTTCAGCGTTTATCTTCTTACCCTAGTCTTCATCATCTTCCTCCTCCTCCTCATCATCATCCTCAGCATCAGATGACAGTGAGGACGAAAGACTCTAGAGCAAACTTTGACACCAACAGATCTTCACTGCTGTGATTTACTGACAGGTCGATGCACTTACCTGATCAACTAAATACTGTACAATCTGTCAAGGGGGAAATCTCCATTTGAACAAGAGACTGTAGAACATTAATTAAAGGATTAATGGAAACTCTAGTATTTCTAATGTGAATTCATCTAGCTACGATTAGTGAAGGTATCTAATCCATTGGGGATCTACAACAACAAATATATATTTAAACGTCCTTTCTTATACTTTTAATGCACAAAATATTCAATTCCAAGCAGAAAGTGTCTTTTTTTCATTTTCTGGTAGATGCAAATTAAATAAAACCTGCTGCTCTTTATTTGTTGTGACTTCAAATCTAATTCTGTGAAAACATCTTATTTTAATGGTTCGTTCAGTACGTTTTAGCAAGTATTAGCATCATTGTTATTTGTGTATGTAATGTATTAGCACAATATATTATGTTAAAAATATACAGATACTAGTGAAAAGATCCACACAATCATTACTTATCTTTCCTGTTAAACAAAAAAAAAAAAAAGTAGGAGGATTATCCCATGTCATTAAATATTTCCAACTTTTTGCATTTGTCTTTCTGTCTCTAAATCTATTCTGCTTGATTACAGGTATAATATATATATATATATATATATATATATATATATATATATATATATATATATATATATATATATATATATATATATATATACATGTTGACATTTGACTACATTACAAACTCTTCGGATGGATCAGTATTGAGTACAACTCCAATGAAAACATAGGGAAACACTTTGATATGTGTGTGTGCTGGCGCTATGGGCGCTCACGGCCACACGCAAAGCTTGAAGGTAAACAAACAACGGATTATCATAAACATTTTATCGATAACTATTTACACAGCATTAAGAAGGAACATAGAAACATTATCTGACTAACATCTAGCAGCTAAAGGTGTTTGGAAAAAATATTCAAAGGCTTTTATTGTCATAAACCGCGCGCACGTGAATGCGTCTGACTGTTGTGATTGGCTAAAGCAGGTGTCTCACGTCAGCACGTTCTAGACGTGGACGCGCTTATTCCGGCAATCTTCCTTCTGCATTCACACAGCGCAGCATTCCGGCAAATTACCGGTAATGTTACAACTTCTCTTTCCGGAAAATAGCCAGAACGAATTTACCGCTATTTTCAAAAAGGCCCTGTTCACACATACAGACCTTTCCGGAAAATTGCCGGCAATTTTCCGGAAAGGTCTGTATGTGTGAAAGGGGCTACAGATAGTTCACGCCTTCTCGCATTGACCATTTTCACTCAGAAAGTGACTTAAAAATTGTAATTCATTATACTGTTTTCTGTGAGCAAGTAAACAAGATGATTCTCACATCATTTTGAAGCACTAGGCTACAAGATCCAGTTCTCAAAAGTCTTGTGAACAAATGTTCAACTGTGTGTTTCACAGCCTTGTTTTAGTGACTTAAAAATTGTAGTTTTTCACTAACAATGCATGAACGTTTCTTTCTCAAAAATACAAGCACATACAAACATGCTGCTTAGGTATTATTGTAGCCAAACTTGTGCTGTTTACAGTGTTTTCACAATCTAGCCATTAATATGTTTTTAAAATACTGAAAACAACACAAATATCAGTGCATGTCAAAATTCACTATGGCCCCAAAACACCCTCAGACCCCAGAGGGTTAATGATAGATCACAAGAAAGATCATTATCTCAATACTCCTCAACACCCTATATTGCGTGCAGCTCTCACATTGAAAAACACCATTTCAGAGCACTCCAGGGGACTTTTAAACTGTCACTTTGTGCCGGAATTTGCGCTCTGCTTTTCTAAATCATAAATCCCGCCCACTTTCAATTCACTGGCTGTGCAAGTCATTTTGACACTAATGAGCGCTGTGGGAAGGCTGATGCAGATTAGTCTACAAATATACCTTTTAAACCGTTTTGGTCATGCTAACAGAAAAGTGCTGTGTAATGAAGTACAGCAGAGTATGCAAGAATTTCGCATTTATCTAATTACTGAAACACTATTAATAATATTAGAAACATTAACAAACTGCTAAGAACATTTAAAAAAAATAGTTCAATATGCAAAATCGTTTTCACTTTTTAATTAGAACAACTCTTTTCACAATACCGTGATACCGTGAAACCATGATATTTTTTTCCAAGGTTATCATACCGCCAGATTCCTATACAGTGCGGCTGTGAAAGGTGGGCGCCCGTTTGCGAGAGGCATTCGAGATGCAAAAAAGCGTGCACATCGCGAAAACAAATTCTGATTTACGAAAACAAAAACTGCACAAATACGTACCTCCCGGGACGTATTTTGCGATCTCTAAAAACGTCCGCGGGGCTACGTTTCCAGAATGAGCCTGGGTTGTCCATTTCTGCTCGATGTACTGTTGCTATAAAAAATTAAATAAAAAAAATAAAAAACCCAGACAAAACATATATACCTTAGGAACGGTATAACAGAAAACTTTGGCGGTTTTAAAACCTGGACTTTTCCAAACCGCGGTATACCTTGAAACCGGTTATCGTCCCAATTAAAATACATACTTGTGTTTATAAAATACTAGTAGTGATGACTAGGCTGAAATATATATATATAAATATATATATATATATATATATATATATATATATATATATTAGGGATGTGCGGAGCAGCCGGTATTTGTATTTGTATTTGTATTTGTTGAGGGGAGAAAAGTATTTGTATTTGTATTTGTATTCAAGTAAAATTCAAAATGGCGCAAAAATATATATTTTTTCTATAACACTTCTAATTTACGTTATAGTGAAAGTATTGTTTAATTATACCCATTATATAAATTATAGACATGCAATATTGGTTGTTGTTTTTGAACATGTGACAAGAAATGTCATTGAAAATAAAATAACATAGAAGCCATTATCTCATCCATGGTTAAATCAACAACTAATAAAATACCATTGTGAATATTATGAACCCCACCACCACCGTTCTTGTTGAAGGACACTGAATAGACAGAATAAAAACAAATAATACTTCAAAAAACTGTTCTTCTTCTGAAAGAACTTCTTTCCAATGCACAGAATTCCAAAAACTAATATTAACTAAATAAATCTAAATAAAACCCTGCCTGGGAGATCTGGCAGAACAAAAGTATTCTATATAATACTTAAAGATACAGCCCTGCTATTATCATCTGCCAGCCACAAAACAGACACAAAGTTTTTTTTTTTTTACTTTTTTATGTTTGAAACTGACTTGCTGGGGCAGAATGTGGCTGTGTTGATGGTTGGGTGCTTGTGGAGGATTTAGCAGAACATAGCTGTGCTGATTGAGGGGATTGATGCTTGTGGGGGGTTCACAGACAGTATCAGGAGAGGATGCTTTTAGTGCATGTGATAATACATTACATAGAAGGTTGCGCGGTGGCACAGTGAGTAGCACTGTCGCCTGACAGCAAGAAGGTTGCTGGTTCAAGCCCCGACTGGGTTCTCCCCATGTTGGCATGGGTTTCCTCCGGGTGCTCCGGTTTCCCCCACAGTCCAAACACATGCAATACAGGTGAATTGGGTAAGCTAAATTGTCCCTATTGTATGTGTGTGAAAGAGAGTGTATGGATGTTTCTGCTGGGTAGCAGCTGGAAGGGCAGCCACTGCATAAAACATATGCTGGATAAATTAGTGGTTCATTCCACTGTGGCAACCCCGGATTGATAAAGGGGTTTAGCCGAAAAGAAATGAATGAATGATTATGGATAGAAGATGTTGACAGATGTTTAATATCTCTGCCTCTGCTGATTTCACTTTTGCACACATTATACAGTATCAGTTTGTTTTATCTGCAGCACCACTGACTGTAAAATGCTTCCACACAGAACCTGAAGGTTTTTTTTCTTTTGACTGGTGGAGGACCAAGAAATGGCTCAGCAATAGTCTTTTTCACTCTTTTTCTGGGTGCCCAAATGTATTTGAGGAGTTTCAAGTTAATAAAAAATGACGGGAAGCTATGCTAAGGTTAACTAGCCTATAGCATATATCTTGCTGTCTGCAAAAGACAGCAATGTAGACGTACCATATAACTCCCATAGGTGCATACTATTCGACACAACTGCAAAAGCATCGTTTTAACCTTTATAAACGAACGTTAACGTTACTCTGTCAACAGTCTATTGTCTAAATTACCGCACTAACAGAGCTAACGTTGCGTAAACAGAGCACCCGATAGCGGAATATCCAGATCAAACTCCGCTTCAACTCCGCTACAAGTTAATAAACTGCATCTGGAACCCAATTAAGGTACAAAAATCTATTTAACAAAAATAGTGATGCAGTTAAGTATTTTTTTCGCTCAGCCGGGCCGTCTGTCTGTTGCTGTGGAGAAGCGCCCTCCGACTTCTGACTGAGCGTCTCTCTCTCTCTCTCTCTCTCTCTCTCTCTCTCACTCACTCACGCAGGCATGCACTGTGGTCTCATGAGGAAACGCTGCTTTTTGATATAGTGTTTTTCTTGCTCCCGAATACAAATAATTTTTCAAGTATTTGTTCGAAATAAGTATTCGTAAAAACACGCTATTCGTGCCTTTCCGAATACTGTATTCGGGTTCGGCTCCACCCTTAATATATATATATATATATATATATATATATATATATATATATATATATATATATATACACATACATATATATACACATACATATATATATAAATAGAGTTACAGTTACAAAAAAAGCACAGATCCATCACACAAATACAAAGGAATAACACAACCCCCAAAGTCATATTAACCTATTGTTTATGTGATTTCAGCATATAATTATGACTTTCACTAACTGAAAAACAGTATTAACATGTGAATCATTACAGTTCTTGAAGAGACCTTGACGAGATGTGGAATGATAGTAACGATTAACAGGAGTCCAACAGTCCGCTTTAACATTGTGAAGATAAATTTATACTGTATCTGATGTCTATTCATGATAAAAGACGCCTCAGCAGGAACTGAACTTGCAGATAAACAAACTTGTCAACCGCCTAATTTTTCACCTGCTATGGTAAAAAACAGAACACTTATAGGACTTATTTATTTATTTATTTATTTTATAAAAAAAAAAAAAAAAAAAGAATCTCAATGAGAAAAATCACACCCAATTTTCATATAACTTTGTCCCTTCCATTTATATACGCTTATAGTCAAGTTTGGGATGAGGATTTATATCTATATAAAATAGTGATGTGATATTTTATGTCATATATCATTTAATTGTTTTGAAGAAGTCTTTTCTCACCAAGGCTGTATTTATTTAATCAAAATACAGTAAAAAAAAAAAAAACAAAAAAAAAAAAACCTAACAGTACAAATATTATTTACATTTAAAATTAGATTCAATTTTTACATCTTTTTTATTGTAATTTACTCTTGCAATTCAAAGCTGAATTTCTTCCAATTTTCACATACTTCAGAAACCATTATAATATAATGATTAAGATTAATTACTTAATCATTAATAATTACTCTCACAATTATCAATTTCATTTCCTGCTTCCGCTTGGTGCAAAAATATGATGG